GGCCTGGTGCGAGTGCCCCGGCCCATGAAGGTCATCGACTTGCCAGGAGGTGGGGCCGTCTTTGTGATGGAGCATTTGAAGATGAGGAGCTTGAGCAGGTGAGTGTGTGTGAGGGACCCATATGCACACATGTGTATAGGCAGAGAGAGACAGAGAGACAGAGAGAGGGACCGAGAGAGGGAGGGAGACAGAGAATCAGGGAGCAGCCTCTGGCTGAGCGGTCCACACAACTGCCCAGTTATCAGAGGCAGGGCTGGGAGTTCCACCCTGCCATTCTCAATGCAGATAAAAAGTTCTGCTTTCTGGTATGTGACTGTTTTTTAGATTAGTTTGGCTGTAATGAGGCTGCATAAAATAAGTTTTTTTTTTTTTTTTGAAACACAGTCTCACTCTGTTGCCCAGGCTAGAGTGCAGTGGCACAATCTCGGCTCACTGCAACCTCTGCCTCCAGGGTTCAAGTGATTCTCCCACCTCAGCTTCCTGAGTAGCTGGGATTACGGGTGACTGCCACCACACCTGGCTGATTTTTATATTTGTAGTAGAGATGGGGTTTCACCATGTTGGCCAGGTTGGTCTCAAACTCCTGACCTCAAGGGATCCACGCACCTTGGGCTTCCAAAGTGCTGGTAATACAGGCATGAGCCACCACATCTGGCCAAAATAAGTATATTTGAACCTGTCATTTGCTTTGTACTTTATTTTTATCTTATGTTTTTTCAGAGACATAGTCTTGCTCTGTTGCCCAGGCTAGAGTGAAATGCTGTGATGTTGGCTCACTGCAACCTCTGCCTCCTGGGTTCAAGTAATTCTCCTGCCTCAGCCTCCTGAGTAGCTGGGATTACAGGTGTGTGCCACCACACCCAGCTAATTTTTGTATGTTTACTAGAAACGGGGTTTCACCATGTTGGCCAGGATGGTCTTGATCACCTGACCTTGTGATCTGCCTGCCTTGGCCTCCGAAAGTGCTAGGATTATAGGTGTGAGCCACTGTGCCTGGCCAAGAGTGGAGAGTAGTTTTTAATGTATTTAAAACATTTCTCAAAATGGAACAAACTGGGTGATGTTATTTTTCATTTGTTATTTTAATTAGCTGCATTTCTTCTTTTCTCAGTCAAGCATCAAAACTTGGAGACCAGATGGCAGATTTGCACCTTTACAACCAGAAGCTCAGGGAGAAGTTGAAGAAGGAGGAGAACACAGTGGGTATGTTCAGATTGCTTTTGGATACCCTTGACCCAGCCACATTGTCTATCCTAGATTGGTGCTCATGGTACTTCTTGGTGGCATTTCAATAATAGGCTGAGTTGTATGCCATCTCCCTTTACACTACAGTATGAAAATGAGATTATTAAATAAGAATTTTGATGGAACTGATAAGCTAGTAGAACTGGCACATGACCCCTTTTATACCCAGCCCTCCTGTCTGGTGTGCTTGAGGTAATAACCACCGCTTTTATACCCAGCCTTGCTGTCCAGTGTGCTTGAGGTAGGAGTGTGCTGGCAGATCCATATGTTGACTAATTGCTATTGTATGTAGTACATCCTCAGACCACCCATATTGTAGCATGTGCAGCCCAGGCTTGTACTGATGCTATACTGAGGTCTGGTATTTAAGAGAAAGACAAACGGCTCCTTCAGGGCAAGGATCTCTGTCAACAGGCCGAAGAAGTGAGGGTGCTGAGCCTCAGTATGTGACCAAGTTCGGCTTCCACACGGTGACATGCTGTGGCTTCATCCCACAGGTGAGTGCCTGGGTAAGCATGTTCCCTGATGCTCTAATGCTGGTCACCCACGCTTTATATGTGACAGAGTACAGTCCCCTAGGCACCAGTAAGATTGACTACCTGATTTCTGAAAGCAGGGTACAAGGTGTGATACCTGGAATGGGGAGAGCAGATGCTGAGGGTCACTGAGCTGAGCTGGGCAGGTTCACAGGACACGCTGCGGGTCACTGAGCTGAGCTGGGCAGGCTCACGGCAGATGCTGAGGGTCACTGAGCTGAGCTGGGCAGGCTCACGGCAGATGCTGAGGGTCACTGAGCTGAGCTGGGCAGGCTCACGGCAGATGCTGAGGGTCACTGGGCTGAGCTGAGGCAGGCAGATTGGCATTCCAAGCAGAGGCAGCCTCGAGTGCAAAGGCTGTGTTGCACAAGGCTCCTGATGAGTATGAGGGACGGGAGACAGTGGCTGATAGCTAGTGTGCAAAGTCAGGGGTTAAGTCCTGATTACTCAGCTCCTCCCTGAGGCCTTTACAAATTATTTATTTAGATACAATTGAGATCTAATTCACATAAGAGCCACCATTTTAAAGGGTAGAATTAATTGGTTTCAGTACATTCACAAGGGTGTGCAACCATCACCGCTGTTTAATTCCAGAACATCTTCATTATCCTAAAGCAGAACCCATTAGCAGTCACCCCCTGTGTCCCCCTTCCCTGGCAACCACTAATGTCCTTCTCTCTCTTCGAACTGACCTACTCTGGACATTTCATATGAGTGGAATCACATAATATGTGACCTCTTGTGCCTGGCTTCTTTCACTAAGCATCGTGTTTCAAGGTTCTTCCGTGTTGTAGCAGGTATTAGAATGCTATTCTCTTATGGCTGAATAATATTCCATTGTATGGCTAGGCCACATTTTTGCTTATGTATTCCTTTTTATGGCTGAATAAATATCGAGGCCTCTTGAACCATCATCTCTGAAACCTGTGAAATTCCAAAGAAGGCTTTGGACAGCCCCCCTGCCCTCTGCTTCCCTCAAAGAAGCCATTATGGGACCATATTTTGGTTTCATTAGGGACACAGTGCCCATTACATAAGACCTAGTGCGGTTTAAAGTTACTGCTTCCTGAAGAGAGGATGCTTTCAAATCTGTGTCCTCATCGAAGCCTGTCCTGACTAGTTGGGTCCCTGGGGATAATGACCAAGCTCTCCCTGGTGTGGGTGGAGGGAGATTCTCCCAGCTGGAGGCCACTTGGTGCAAGATCCTCCTGGCGCCCAAGCAGATTTAGGGTTCCCAGCCAACAGGCAGTCCTCATATCTGGGCTCGCTAGAACTGCACATGGAGTCTACCAGATTTACCAAGACCCCCAAGATCTCAGCCACAGCGGGTTCCCCTGGGGTCACACAGCTGCCTAGAGTCAGTGAGCAGCACTGCCTTCATCGTCAGGTGTGGATGCTGAGGTCAAGGGCTGCAAGTGTGGGGTCTATGGGACTTGGCTGGCCCAGCAGAGTGGTGTTTCAAAGAAATGAAGTAAAATCTTACCCAGAGCCTCTGTGTGTGAAGCAGACGAGAAGGCAGCTGCTGTTTGGAGCACAGGTAGCCCCTCAACGCCCCTGTGGACTCCAGGATCAAGGAGCCACCTCAGATCAGCTGCCGCCTGGCTAGGAAGGGTGAGGGGCTAGGGAGGACACCTGCCGTGCGTCCTGCCCGTCGTGCCTTGGACAGCACCAGGTTCTGGAGGCTTCCCACTTCTCAGGAGGGCTGAATGGGTCCTTGGGTGTGTGTGCTGCCTCCATTTGGGGGCAATGCTGAACAGTGGGCTCCTCAGACACCGGAGGCACCGAGGCCCGCTGGGGCCACCAGCTGGGTCGGCTGCACTGATGGCCGCCTGCTCCGTACGCTGACGCATACCAGGCAGTGCTCTAAGTGCTTCATCGGACTAAACTCACCCACTAGCCCTAGCAGGTAACCAGGCAGGCGGTGTCATTGATCCGTGTTATAGACGAGGAAACTGATGTGCAGGGTGACACTCCTGGGACCGTGGAGCTTGTCATGGGGCAGCTGGGCTTTGCTTCTCAGTCTGGCTCCAGAGCACAGGCCTGACCGTGACAGCCCTGCCTGCCCCTCTGTCAAGGGGAGGCCTGGCCACAGGGACCAGCTGTGCACCCTGATGGCACTTTTCCTGGGTCGCTGGATCACAGCCCCTCTGTTCAGGTTGCGGGACTGGGCTGGCCCATGCTGGTCCCCTGCTCCCAGCACTAACCCTGGGTGTCTTTCCAAGAGAGGACAGAGCTCAGACGCCAGGAGCTTGGGCAGACACATGGGAAATGATGGGAGGCGGCAGGGTGCCCATCTGAGCTGGGGCCTGACAGCCGGGCTGTGGGGAGGTGCACACAGCACCTGGGGGTGAGCCCCAGGCCGAGTCACCATAGCACCTACGTGCAGGGAGAGCCTGATGGTGCGGGCCCTCGACCAGGGTGGTCCTGCATGTAAAACTCCCCTGAGGAGTTTTACAAAACAACCCTTTGTACAAAATAAGCTTTGCATTTTTCTCTATTTTGAGGTGTAATTGACGTAAGTTGCACCCATTTAAAACACACAATTTGGTGCACTTTGACATGTTTGTACCTGTGAACCTCTTGCCACAGTCAAGGTGAGTATACTGATGACCCTGCGCCTGGGCAGCCACTCGCCTGCTGTCACTGTGGATTAGTTTGCATCTTGTGGAATTTAACATAAAGAGAATCGTATGGCAGGCAGTCTTTTCGTCTGGCGGCTTTCACTCTGCTTAATCATTCTGACGTTTACCCATGTCTAAAATCCTTGGATGTTCATCCTTGACAGACATCCATGGTGCATGTGTCAAAAGACCACCCCACTGTATGGGTATTACACGCCTGTTTATCCATCCACATGTGGATGGACTTCCAGGTCATTTCCAGCTTTTGGTTATACAAATAAAGCCGCTGTGAACCTTTGTGTACAGATCTTTGGACAAATGCTTCCGCTTATCTTAGCTAAATACTTAGGGTGGGAATGACTGTGTCATATGGTGGATTCATACTTAACTCTTTAAGAAACCACCAAACTTGGCCTGGTGCAGTGGCTCACGCCTGTAATTCAGCAGGTGAAACCCTGTCTCTACTAAAGATACAAAAAATTAGTCAGGTGGGGTGGCAGACGCCTGTAGTCCCAGCTACTCGGGAGGCTGAGGCAGGAGAAACACTTGAACCTGGGAGGTGGGAGGCTGCAGTGAGCTGAGACCGCACCACTGCACTCCAGCCTGAGTCTGGGCAACAAGAACAAAACTCAGTCTAAAAAAAAAAAAAACAAATCCTTGTTGTTATTTTTTTTTTTGAAATGCAGTTTCGCTCTGTTGAGCAGGCTGGAGTGCAGTGGTGTGATCTCGGCTCACTGCAGCCTCTGCCTCCCGGGTTCAAGCGATTCTCCTGTCTCAGCCTCCTGAGTAGCTGGGACTACAGGCGCCTGCCACCACGCCTGGCTGATTTTTGTGTGTTTTTTCTTTGAGACAGTCTGGCTCTATTGTCTAGGCTGGAGTGCAGTGGTGAGATCTGGCTCACTACAACCTTTTGCCTCTTGAGTTCAAGCGATTCTCCTGCCTCAGCCTCCTGAGTAGCTGGGATTACAGGTTTGTGCCACCACGCCTGGCTGATTTTTTGTATTTTTTATAGAGACAGGCTTTCATCATGTCGGCCAGGCTGGTCTGGAACTCCGGACCTCAGGCAATCTGCCTGCCTTGGCCTCCCAGAGTGCTGGGATCACGGGTGTGAGCCACTGTGCCGGGGCCTTGTTATCCTTTTAAAATCTGTAAAATCTGCATTGACGTCACCTCTCTTACTCCTGACACTGGTAATGTATCTTCCTTCTTTTTTCCGAGTCAGCCCAGCTAGGTGTTTATCAATTTTACTGAGCGCCTCAAAGGACCAACTTTTTGCACGTTTTCTCGTTTTTCTAACTTCTGTTTCACTGATTTTCGATAAGATCTTTATTATTTCATTTTTTCTGCTCACATTAAGTTTAACGTGCTCTTCTTTTTGTGGCTGGTTAGGGTAGAAGCTGAGGTCATGATTTGAGACCTTTGCGCACAGACCTTTAGTGCTGCACTCTTCCCCTTAAGTATTGCTTCAGTGGCATCTCACAAATTATAAGTTGTGTTTTTGCTTTCATTCAATTGAAAACACTTTCTAATTTCCCTTTAGAAGTCTTCCTTACACAGATTTTAGAAGTGTGTTATTTAGCTTTCAAATAGTTGAGGAATTTCCAGAGATATTTCCTATTGATTTCTGATTTAATTTCATTATACTTTGCATGCTTAAATTCAGTTTATTGAGATTTGTGTGCAGGGAGAAAAATCTTTTTCTGTTTCTCTTCTTACAGGCCACGAATCCTACTGGATTAATAACTCACCCTCATGATTTTATTTAACCCTCATTACCTCCTAGAGGCCCTTCGTCCAATACAGTTGTAATAGTAAAGGTTAGGCCTTCCACGTAGGGATGGGCTGGGGCACCATTCGGTCCATAGCAGGATATGGGATTTATCTATTTCTCCTGAAGTCCTCAGTTTTATGTATTTTGAGGCTGTGATATTAGAGGTGTAGGCATTTAGGATTATTATGCTCGTCAGTCGACTCCCTTTGTGAAATGACTATACTTGGCGATTTTCTTTGCTCCAAAATCTACTTTGTCTTGTATTAACGCAGCCGCTCCAGCTTTCTTTTGACTGGTGTTAGCGTGGTGTATTTTTTCCATCCTTTTAAACTATTTTTTTCACAGATGATGTATTTTTGCACGAGTTGTTGGCTTTTGCTTTATTTTTCCCACCTGCCAATCTGTCATTTACCTGGAGTGTTTATTTTTGACATCCGTGTTTAATGTGCTTAGTCATACGCTGAGGTTTGAGTCTGTCACCTTGTGGTTTGTCTCATCCGCCCTTTGCTCCCTCTTCCCTCTTTACCTGCCTTCTCCTGGGTTGTTCTGTGTTTCTGTCTCACCTCCTGTGCTGGCTTACTAGCCGTCCCTGGTGTGTTTAATGGTCCCTCCACGGTTTAGGCAGCACGTGGCTCCCAGCTGCAGCAGTCTCCTCTTCCCTGTTGCCAGGTGAATGAATGGCAGGATGACTGGCCCACCTTTTTCGCCCGGCACCGGCTCCAGGCGCAGCTGGACCTCATCGAGAAGGACTATGCTGACCGAGAGGCACGAGAACTCTGGTCCCGGCTACAGGTGGGCACGGCAGTGACTTCTCTGGGCAAGGGCTTGTCCTCTCTTGAGCCCACCCCATTTGTGTGGGGTCCTCTGTGAAACTGAGCCCGGGAGCAGAGATGGTCAAGTCAGGGGCACATCAGTGCCTGACCAGTGGCCTGATGGGGAAGCCGAAGGGGCAAGAAGTGAAGACAGGCTTGGCTCCTGCCCCTCTCCCCTGCCAGGCCACCAGGTATTCAGCCTCAGACTTTCCTCATGTGAAACACAGGTGCTAGTAAACGGTGTCGCTGACCCCGATTACTTTTCTTACTGTCAGTAACACTTGTCCACTCCAGTCCATTCCTCTCCCATGGGAAGATGTAGGGACCGGATGCTCCAGTGACTGATTTCAACAGGTGACTCCCGGCCAGGTGCAGTGGCTCACGCCTATAATTGCAGCACGTTGAGAGACTGAGGCAGGCGGTTCACTTGAGGTCAGGAGTTTGAGACTGGCCTGGCCAATATGGTGAAACCCCGTCTCTACTAAAAATACAAAAATGAACCGGGCATGGTGGTGCGTGCCTGTAATCCCAGCTACCCGGGAGGCTGAGGCAGGAGAATCGCTTGAACCCGAGAGGTGGAGGCTGCAGAGCCGAGACGGTGCCACTGCACTCCAGCCTGGTGACAGAGTGAGACTCTGTCTCCATGATTTATTGACATCAATCAATACATGACAAACAAAGCCTGCAGACACACGTGAAGTGAAATAAAAGTGGAGGGAGTTTGCTAAGGTGGCCATCACTGTTCCTATCTGCGGATCGATCAGGCTGTGACCTGGGAGGTTCTCCCGTGTGGAAGTCAGTCAGTCGTTAGTATGTGCAGCTTCTAGACCTAAGTCAGGAGGAAATCCTGTTAGACAAAGCTGGACTCCCTGGAGTCAGGAGCCCCGATGTCTGGGCTTGGCACGCAGTGCTGGGTCCGACTGGAGCCAGCTCGCGGGGGCCTCTGCCTTATGGCCAAGGAGGAGGTGATGAGGCCGGGGCCCCCCAGGCCGGGCTAACTGCGGCCGTTGCTCTCCCAGGTGAAGATCCCGGATCTGTTTTGCGGCCTGGAGATTATCCCTGCCTTGCTCCATGGGGATCTCTGGTCGGGAAACGTGGCTGAGGACGACGCGGGGCCCATTATTTACGACCCGGCTTCCTTCTATGGCCATTCCGAGTTTGAACTGGCAATCGCCTTGATGTTTGGGGGGTTTCCCAGGTCCTTCTTCACCGCGTACCACCGGAAGATCCCCAAGGCTCCCGGCTTCGACCAGCGGCAGCTGCTCTACCAGCTCTTTAACTACCTGAACCACTGGAACCACTTCGGGCGGGAGTACAGGAGCCCTTCGCTGGGCACCATGCGGAGGCTGCTCAAGTAGCGGACCCCGCCCCTGACCACTGCCCCGGCCCCCCTCTCTTCCCCCGCCCCTGCCCCCTTCCCCTGCCCGCGTCCAGGTCCCCCTTCCCTCTGCTCCCTGCCCCTTCCAGATGCAGGGGGACAATAAAGTCCACAGCGGGCCTCGGCTGGCATCCCGCACCTCCGTGCTCCGCGCGTGGGGCTGCTTTCAGGCGAACGGGCGCGGACGTTTTTGCGGCGATTCTGGAGAAGCGCACGCGGAACCGGTCGCCGAGACCAAAGCCGGCGCAGCGCCCAACGCGGCCTCCGGGCCCTGCTCGCGCTCTGGGGCGCGCCACGGCTCGGCGCGGGGTCCGTGGGGTCCGCGAGTCCCAGCGCGGCTGGAATGGGCGTCAGGGCGGTCGGCACTGAGCGCTGGGTCCCGGGGCTCGCCTCGCGCCCCCCACCGCGTGCTCAGGTCCGGCCCCGCCCTCTATGAGTAGCCCCGCCCCCTACCCGCCCACGCGTGCTCAAGCCCCGCCCCTGCCCCACGTGTTCCGGCCTCCACACCGCCATCCACCGGTCCCACCCAGCGGCCCCGCCCCCTGCCTGCACCTCAGGCTCCACCCTGTTTCCCGCCCCGCCGGCAGCGCCTCGGGCCCCACCCCCTGTGTCGCCCCGCCCTCCGCTCCTCAGGCTCCACCCCCTGTCCCGTCCCGCCCGCCGCGCCTGAGGCTCCACCCCC